TCATTACATGCATTCAATGGAAGTCCAATCGATTTCCTCGTTATTTGCTTGCTTTTTTTTCTTTCGTTTTCAAATCATGTCATGTTACATGTTCAAGCCATACCGTTTGACACTCTCTAAACCCTGGCGTGTCACAGATTCCCTCCATGGCGTGTCACAAACCCTGAATGTTGGCGTGTTATAGATTTCCTCCATGGCATGTCAAACTCTGAACCCTGGCATATCACAGATTCCCTCCATGGCGTGTCACAAACTCTGAACCCTAACATGTCATAGATTCCTTTCATGGCATGTCACAAACCTTGAACCCTGACGTGTCATAGATTCCCTCCATGGCGTGTCACAAACTTTGAACCCTCCCTTGTCACAGATTCCCTCCATGATGTGCCACAAACTCTGAACCCTCCTTTATTACAGATTCCCTCCATGGCGTGTCATAATTTCTAAACCCTGCCCTATGACAGTTGTGTCACATATGCTCACCATGGCATGCCACATTCTCTCACCATGTCATATCACATTTTCCCTTCGAGTCTTGTCACATATTCTCACCCTCCCATCTCACATATTCCAGCCATGGCGTATCACAAATTCTAAACCCTGCCATATCATAGCCCTGTCACACATTCCCACCATGCCGTTTCATGCCACATTCTCTAATGTGTCACATATTCTCATAATGTCATCTCACATATTCCCTTCGAGTTGTGTCACAAACTCTGAACCTTGCCGTGCCACAGCGGTCTCACATATGGCATACTGTAGCACGACCATTTCGTGCTTTGGATTCATATCTTTCTCCTTTCGATTCACCACTGTATCACAGATTTCTGGTTGCACATCATTCTCGAAGCTTTCGATTCATCAGGACCTGTTCCTCGATCGGTTTAATATCCCTTTTCTCGTTTTATCTGAATGCCATATCTGAAATATATGAAAATCCTTCTCATGCAACATTATTTTGCTTTGCACAAGCTTCGCTAAAAAAAAAATTGGATGTTTTGCACAAAATTATTTACATATTTATCTATTTATTTTTTCATTTTTCGCGTGTTTGATAATGCGCATCAACGAAGATGTCTCACTAAAGGTATTTTTGTCTCAAAATCTATTGTCGAGGATAAAAATAGTTAAAATTATCTGAAGGCATATTTCTAAAAATACTTTATTTTTTAGGACTAAAAGAAAAAATCTCCCATATAAAAATGTACGAATTTATTGAAAATATGAGGCAAAGCTTAACTTAAATATCATAATAACACTAGAACAAATGTAAAAGTCAGTTTTAAGATGACAACCAATGAACTCAACGTAGAACTTATTTACTGGATTAGGCTTCCGAAAGTCTTTGGGCTCAGGGTTTATGAAGAGAGGAAGAAAAGAAGTCTCTAAGCTTATCGTTTAATAATTGGATTGGGCTTGGGTTTGAACTAATTACATTAAAAATTATTTTAATAAATAAAATATATAAAAATTCAAAAGCAATCTCACGTGAATTTAATAAAAATATCTAAAAAGGTGAATTCCAAAACAATAAAAATTTAAAGTTTGATTGCAAGAAAAAAAATTAGAAAGATTTGATCAAAACTAAACTTTGGGCTCTGGAATACCATAGCACGCATACTTCTCAAAATTACTAAAAATATATATATTTTAAATTATTTCAATAGCAAAAGAACCAATGCCATGACTTTTTATTTACATTAAATTATTTTATAAAAAATCACATATTTGACTACGCTCTTGGACAATTTAAAAATTTCAGCATTAGGAAAGTGTTAGCCAACCCAAATAACAAGGCCACAAAGAATAGAAAACATGGAGAAATTGAGATCGTGGAGCCACTAAGTTATGTCATAGTCCTTAACCAAGAATGTCGTGTAATGCTCATGACATTGATTATACTTCAACAATGTTTGAAAATTCTTTCTTTTCTTTTTTTTTTTTTTAAAAAGTTGTACAATATAAATAATAAAAGCTCATTAAGAAATACTAGTTTACTTACAATCTGCGCAGAAGACTCTCATGTTAATCTCCACATGGGTAAAAAATTAGGGTCACTATATATTAATTGATTTCAAACTCTACAATAATCTAAACTTGAAATACTCATATATAAAAATAATTAGAACTTGAAATGATCTAAACCAAAAACTAATTTAAAGCACAAGTGAACTTGACTTGAAATTTCATGACTTAACTTTATTAAACCTAGTTATTAAGGAAAAGATATGCAATCAAGATGTAACGGTTCAAATCTAAGTACCATTAATTCAATAACTTTTCAAACTTAAATCACATGGTTTTAAAAATTTTAAGTTCAAACTACTTGTAGTGATTAATTTAAGTTTTTATATAAATTTTAACAATCACATTCACATTAAAATGAAATATCATAATCTTACCAACTTAAATACTTGATATCGTCGTCAATAGGGGCGAAGCGTCCATTTGTAATGGTCTCCTTAAAAATTTTAAAAATTTTTATATATTATATATTTTTTAATACTTTTTTATTATATAATTAATATAATTAAAATAATAATAAAATGACTTTACAAACTCCATTCAATTTTACCCAAATTTTTAATTTTTTTTTTAATTT